CTAGAGAGGATGGATCAGTTGCCTGAGAATATTCAAGTCAGTATGGAAGTGGTGGAGGCAGCCAGGAACTTCTTAGCAGAGCAGGGGGCTGGTAACAACTGACTTAGAAATACAATCTAAGTTCTTTGTTTTAATTTTTGCTTTTTGGAGGGACTTGTCCTAATGAACTGTGGAGTTCTAGACATGTATTTGGTACATAAGGTACCTTTTTTTGCTTTTTGGAGGGACTTGTACTCATATTGGGGGGGGGGGGAGTTCAAGTTGACTTGTATTTAGTACAAAGGGTACTTTTTTGATTTTTGTAGGGGCCAAGTTTTGTAATTGCTCCTGAATTATGTATTCTATGAATGTATAAGTATAGTTTGAATGCATTTTTTGTCTCACATTTTAAAGTCATCACAGACCACAGATCAGGCACATGAGGCAACAAAGACTTAGGGATCACATACTGACCAGCATTTGACAGAAGGAATGAATGTCAACAAGACATTGGTCTCAGATTTTAAAGTCATCACAGACCACAGATCAGGCACATGAGGCAACAAAGACTTAGGGATCACATACTGACCAGCATTTGACATAAGGAATGAATGTCAACAAGACATTGGTCTCAGATTTTAAAGTCATCACAGACCACAGACCAGGCACATTGGTCTCAGATTTTAAAGTCATCACAGACCACAGATCAGGCACATTGGTCTCAGATTTTAAAGTCATCACAGACCACAGAGTACTCACAGTGGGCAACACACACCTAGGGATCACATACTGGGCAGCATTTGACATAAGGAATGAATGGCAACACATAGGTCACAGATTTTAAAGTCATCACAGACCACAGAGCAGTCACAGTAGGTAACATTTCACATAATGAATGAATGGCAAGACCAGTACACATTTCAACTCATCACAGACCACACATCAAGGGCAAATACTCCAAAAATTGGGCATTATACACCTCGGGCCACACCAGTAGACAACCAAATACATAAATTGATTTCACAAATGGCACAGAGATGTGATGGCCTCACTAAAAAGTGTTGAAATTTAATCCCCCCTTCATCATTAGTTAAGAGATTGAATTACCATAACATGCAGAGACAGTCCATTCGATAATTAAGTTATTGAGGAGAGGTCATACCACAGGAAGGCAGATCGAAGGGTATTGGTGGAGGGTTCACCATCAAAGCATAATCTGTGCAGACCAATGGTCTATGATCATAGTCAGATGTCACCTCTTCGAATTCCCCTTCGTCGCTCTCAAATTCCAGATCCGATTCATCAAACATCGCCACATTCCCGTACTTCTTACGATACCTCCAGGTTGGGTCTGTATCAGAAGTAGAGGTCGAAGGAGTAGGATAGCGACGCCGCCGACGCTTCAATCCTCGTCCAGATCCACCAATTTGGGGGATCTACCTCGCGAGGGTGATTCCTGTATCAACAGATTAAAATTGGGATATGAGGGATCTCGATTACCCATAGATTAGGGAGTGGAGAAGACGAAGATTGTGGCGGAGAGGAATTTGAGAATGTCGCGGAGATGAAAAAGTAGCGGAGAAGACGAAGTTTGAAGATGAGAGATCGGATGGAGAAGACGAAAGTGTGGTGAGAATGAGAGGAATCCGGATAAGGATTCTGATGCACAATTTGAAAAAGCTGGGCACATTTTGAAAAAGTAGGGGTATAATAGTCTTAACACACCAATTTACTTTCCATTATTAGAAGTGTGGTGAATTTTTTGGGACGGATGAAAAAGGAAAGTGTGACAAATATTTAGGGACGGAGGGAGTATATCTTAAAGACAATGATTAAGATAACGTGTTTATAAATATAATAATAATAATAATAAAAATTATAATACTGTACTAAATTAATAATAATGACAATTTTTAAAAGTTTATTTAGATTTTCCAAATTTTCAATTTTCATTTATTTTTTTCAATTCCTTCTAATGTTTCCAACATCTAATTTGTTTGAAAAATGCTAGGGGTACACCAAAGGTGTACCCCAAATATCCCCCACCCCCTCCTTGTCTACTAAAAAAGGCAAAAAAATTCAAAAATAAAAATTAAATAAAAATCAAATAAAAATGTGTGAAGGAAATGAGGGTTATGTACATTTGGGGTACACCAAAATGGTGTACCCCTAGCATTACTCAATTTTTTTTTCATCCATAAATAACGGGCACTTAAATAACGTGAAAGTGATGGAAAATAGTAGAAGCAACTACTACTGTACCATTAATATGAAAACAATTGCTCCCTATTGGAAACTTGAATCTTTTGCTATATACGTCCTTTTTATATATCCCTCTGTACTAAAACTATATTTCAATTATTATTCACACGGTCAAACTTAAATCACTTTCTTTATCTATTTTTGATACTTATTTGATAAAGTAATATAGTCTTGTCACCTCTCGTTTTGTAGAACTATTAATGTTGTTTTTAAATATGTAAATTTTATTTTTTAATTTTACACCTACAATCAAATAAATTAAATTTAAAATAAAGTCAGTCAAATCTCGTAAACACAAATGGGAAGATGGTTTTAGGACGGAGGGAGTAACATTTTTTGCAATAAGCATTGGTTGAATTTATTGATTTTTTATTTTATAGTGTTAAAAAAAGCTACATTTAGAAGTTGAGAATTACTATTTTTTCACAAAATCTAATAGAGATTTCTAAACCCAATAAAGTACAAAACAATTTTTTTTCATGCAAAGTATGACAAATTCTCCGTGGTCCTAAGTTTCACATGCGAAATATGGACTTTGATGCATACATATCATAAATGAATGGAGCCTTAAAAAAAATAATCCACTTGCCATATAAATCATGAGAAGATCCACAATTTGCAATCGAATCTCAAGAATACGGAAGAACAACTCTACGAGTACTACGTACACAACAACCAATAGAATTACGCATCTTTTGGTACTCCATCCGTCCCCATTTAGATTACAATATTTCATTTTAAAATTTAAAATTTTAAATTTATAAAAATGCAATTATTTTGATGAAATGAAAAAATGAAAGAGAAACTATTTTAAAAACGGATGTAGTAATAAAAGAAATGATTTTTTGAGAGAATATTTTCCTTCATATCAAACAACGGAAATTATGATAAGAAAATAATTTTCCTTGAAAATCATTTTCCTTTGGAAAAAATTCTTCAAGGAAAATGTTTTACCCCCAACCAAACAGAACCTTAATTATACCTTTTTCTCGATTTTATCTCCGCCTACATTTTGGACCGGGGTCCAATGAATGTCTTAAATCAGATTTATTTAACAATTTGTCCAAATCCTTATTCTAGTCTTGTTCAATTTTAGGGAAGTATATTAAATTGAGATTCTAAAATTATGTTTGGTTCAAGGAATTTGAGAGAATGAAAAAAAATGAGAAAGAAATCTTTTTTATTGTTTGGTTATAAAATCTGAATTGAATACACTCTTACTTTTAGCCCACAAAAGATTGAAGCCCAAATCAGTCGAGCCCATAGTCTAAGAGCCCAAACTTCCGATGAGATTAATTACTTTTTCGGAATTCATGTCACCTATTATTTGCGCCCAATTTCTTCCAGATCTGTTCCAAATCCCCCTCCATCTTCCCCACTCCGGTCTCAGCCACCACCAAGGAGGGATCGAAGTTGATTACAAGTCTCTGATCGGAAGACGCCGCCACCATCTATGACGGCGGAATTAGCCAACGGGGTTGCGGAGCCCCTCTCCGCTTATCCCAACGGCCAAGTGGGACCTGAAAACCCTAACTCCGCTGCTGCATCTAAGAAGTCCAAGGAAAATGAACGTCGTCGAAGGAGGAGAAAGCAGAAGAAGAACAAAAAGCCGTCCGCGGACGCCAATGGTGTGGATACGGATGCTGCTCCCCATGACGCTGAGAATAACGCGGAGGAGAACTCCTCCGCTCAGAAGGTATTTCTAAATTCTGTTTTAAGTCTGGGTTTCGAGCTGAATGCTATCTGTATGTTGTTCAGTTGACTAGTTTTGATTATTCCGGTAATATATGGTGCTGCTTTAAGATATGCAAATGGTAGACTTTTGTGATCGATTGCTTGAAATAGCTCTTGCCTGGCGTTTTGGTGAATATTATAGCTATGAGCCCATAAAATAGAGTGATGATTTTATTTAGTTAGTGTTTTCTAGTGTTAATATCAGCTCTTCTGTTTGATTGATGTGTTTACGCCATCAAAGAGGCATTTGTATATGCTTAATATTTAGTTAGTGTTTTCTAGTGTTAATATCAGTTCACTACACTTTTGTCTCGTATATCTCCCTCTTAGTATAGATTCTCTTTGTACCCTTTCTATGGCACTTTTTTTCCTTTCTGAAATGGTCATTATTTGCTCAGAGAAATTATTGGATGTCGTTTTTAAAATTTCAAAAATGAATCTAATGATACAAAGATAAATTATTTGTGTCGTATCTTCTGATTTATCGTGATTATGATTATAAACTATTTCCTTTTGATGCTCTTAGCTGTCAAACCTTAATGATTTCTGTTTATCACACAATTATCATCATGATGCTTCAGGTTATTATGTTTGCATATGAGCATATTTGTATCGTCTTTGATACTCCAATGTCCTTTGATAAACTTAATTTTAACTCTACTGGTTGTCCTAAAATACATCACTCTTCATTTCTGTAAATGCATATGTGGTTGATATTTTTGAAAAATTTAATGTGTAAATAAGTCTCAACCACACAATTGTGCTCTCTTGAATTGCATGTTAATGGCGAGAGCAAATGGTTTGTCTACTCTCAAGTGAAAGGAACATGAAGTTCTTTCCTGAACAATCTTTTGATGAAATATGATTTACTTTGTTTTACTTTATTCTTACGAATGTGTTGATTCACCCAATTCTGATACTCAAATTCTATATGTGTTGGCTTTATTTTACATCTTGCCTATTAATATGAAATCTCGTTCACTCGTTGGCGCTGCAGTCTACTGAGCAAGTTGAAGTGGAGTATGTTCCTGAAAAAGCAGACCTGGATGGTTCTTTGGACGAAGAGTTTAGAAGAGTTTTTGAAAAATTCACTTTTTCTGAACCTGTTCCTGAGGTATAACAAAGTTACTTTTAAATCTTAGTGGAGTATTTTTATTGCTGAAACTGCTCTTTACTTTCTGCTATAGTGCCATGTCCGCTCTCCTTTTTCCAAGATAAGTTGCTATTGCCTTCTCTTAATTTATTTTCTAACATGGCTATCTTTATTTACTTGTCCTGAATTTGTCAGGAGGATGAAAAAAAGGATGAACCTGCCACTGATGCTAGCTCAAAGAAAAAGGCTGATTCAGACTCTGACGAGGAAGAGCAGGACACCCAACAAAAAGAAAAGGGAGGCATCTCAAACAAAAAGAAAAAGGTTATAGCCCTCGCCGCTTCTGTTTTTACCCTCACTATTTCAGTGTTTCATTAACACTAGTGTATTATTTCAGCTTCAGCGTAGGATGAAGATTGCCGAACTGAAACAAATCTCTTTTAGGCCTGATGTGGTTGAGGTATGGTTGAGGCTGAAAGTTATACTTTACACACTAAGTTTATGCTACCATACTTTTGTATATTGATTTTTGCTTGTTGCTGATTTCAAGGTTTGGGACGCCACTGCTTCAGATCCAAAACTGTTGGTATTTCTGAAATCATATCGAAACACTGTTCCAGTTCCAAGACATTGGTGCCAGAAACGCAAATTTTTGCAGGTGAGTTGATGAGATGTAGTGTTAATTACGTATAATAAGCAGTATAATTGCATGTGTCATACTTTTGTACTGAATATAACTAATGATGTGAAAGAATGGGATTAAGCATATGACTGTTTGGTGTGTGTGTGGGGATGTAGATAGTCATTGAGGTTTGTCTTATATGTATACACATGGTTCTTGCAGGGGTGCTGCTATGGTACTGATTGGAGCCTGAACATGTAGGTGTTTGGCAAAGAGAATCCTTGCATATTTTTACATTTGATGTAATTTTTGGTGTGGGCTGGGACAGCCAACTGCATGGGCATCTTTTGTAATTTAATATAACTACTTCCATAAGTACCTTGTTTTGAGGCAAAAGAGAAATAACTTATGCTAGGGTTGAAATGATTAATAATTATGTGTTGATATCATCCCACGTAGTATTTAATTGATTCGCTTGTACTCTTTGATTAAGATATATATACTATTTTTATCATTAGTTTATCTCATCAGCCTTTTAATTTGTTCTTCAGGGTAAGCGTGGTATAGAGAAGACTCCCTTTCAACTGCCTGACTTCATAGCCGCAACAGGAATTGAGAAAATTAGACAGGTAAGAAACAATATTATATAGTTTCCTTGTTTATGTATAGATACAATTTGGGCATATGGCAAATCCATTCCCTTTTTGGATGCAAAATGTGTCTTCTGATTTTTAGTTACTTCACAACACTAGAAACTCTTCAATGAAACATTTAATTGATATAAGTTGGCTTGATTATTTTCCCCTTCTACGACTATAGTCCTACAATGAAAAGGAGGAAGGTAAGAAGCTTAAGCAAAAGCAACGGGAGAGGATGCAGCCTAAAGTGGGAAAAATGGACATTGATTATCAGGTATTCATACAGTTCACTAGTACATTTTGAATACAGAATAAGCTCTCGTATGTTATTTGTAATGTAAAGTTTTAAGGTGCATGCATGTGACTTTTCTCTCCTTTTTTGGGGTAGGTCCTCCATGATGCCTTTTTCAAGTATCAGACTAAACCCAAGCTGACATCACTTGGTGATCTTTATTTTGAAGGGAAGGAATTTGAGGTATAAAATTTTTTCTTAAGTACTAGTGGCTCATGATATGTTGTGAATGATCACTTGTTTCATTTCCGTTCTATTAGTAACTGCTCACAACCTAGATCTAATAATAACTTCACACTATGTCTGCTTTTCATACAGGCAAAGCTGAGGGACATGAAGCCTGGAACCTTGTCTCATGAGCTAAAGGAAGCACTTGGTATGCCTGAAGGCTCTCCTCCTCCGTGGCTCATAAATATGCAGGTTATGTACCAAAAGTTTTATGGGAGTTTATATGAGTCAATTTCATTTGTGATTGCTTGGCTGTGGTTACATTCCCCATATCGGTCATCAACTATGAACTCAATCATTTTGGTTCATTAGGCTTTCAAATGTGCCAACTCAGAATGTCTAAAATGTTATCAGTTTAACAGAACTTGACCTTTCTTCATATAATTGTGATTTGGGTAGTTTTGGTTGAACTTGCCACACTTCCATGCGTTTAGAAACCTAAAAGTGGTCAAAGTGATTGCCGAAGAACATAGGTTGAGTTTATGCTGTAGTTTAAACCCTATACATGGAGCTAACTTGTTTAATAAAATTCTGTTGACTAGTATGATACTATTTTAGTTATTTTGCTCAACATTGTCATTGAAATTCTCTTCCTTGGATGAAAGATTACTTTTTCATTCTTTGCGTCTGATCCTAATTATCTGCTGCAGAGATATGGCCCACCACCTTCCTATCCTCATTTGAAGATTCCTGGATTAAATGCTCCCATTCCTCCAGGAGCTAAGTTCGGATATCATCCTGGAGGTTGGGGTAAACCACCTGTTGACGAGGTGGGTTCTATCATATAGTGGAATATGTTTATGCATCTCCATTCTGATTCAATTTTAACTACTTTTGTATTCTATTGCACAGTATGGCCGCCCCTTGTATGGTGATGTATTTGGAGTATTGCAACACGAGCAGCCTAATTATGAGGCAAGTATTTGCTTTTGAAAATTCAAAATGGAGTATTTAATACCTCAAAATGGAGAAGATTAATAGACAACTCTAAGATGTTCATGCTTGTCTACACTAGAGGACAGTTATCCTGTTAGTACAAGATTGTTGTTTATAGGCAGCATTTTGCACATACCCATGAATTATTTTAAGCTTGCATCTCGAGGAAAATGTTGTATTGGGATGAAAAATAGGTGAATATTTAGACTTTGTATGCTACTTGATAACGGACATGCATTTTATTATATGTGAGGAATGCTCTTTAGTCTTTATCCATTTAGTTAGTTCCCGTCTTTATAAATTCTTCACCTGTAATTTAGGATGAACCTGTTGACAAGAGTAAGCATTGGGGTGACTTGGAGGAAGATGAAGCAGTGGAGGAGGAAGAAGAATTGGAAGAAGATATGGAGGAAGAGGATCTAGAAGATGGCATTCAATCGGTTGATAGCCTTTCAAGGTACTCTTTGTTCTCTTATATTGTTTCATAACATACAGATAATTATATATTTACTTTGAGATTGTTGTCTATTACAATTGTTTACTTTTGTGCTTTAGCACTCCTACGGGAGTCGAGACTCCTGATGTTATTGATCTTCGCAAACAGCAACGGAAGGAGCCAGAGAAGCCTCTCTACCAGGTATTTATGTTTTACTTGATTTTTTTTATATGTAGAGAGTATTGTAGCTAATCATCATGTTTATTCTTTACAGGTGCTTGAAGAAAAAGAGGAAAAGATTGCTCCTGGAACTTTACTTGGAACTACTCACACGTACTAAATCTGCTTCTGTTTATATACTCTCTTGCTGACTATTGCATCTTATGTTCAAAGACTAATGTTCTTTTTCTTCCTTCTCTGTTTTATGTTTTTTTCTGTTTCCAGGTATGTTATTAGCACTGGCGCACAAGATAAAACCGGGGCTAAACGGGTAATGTGGTCATGACTATTTCTTCGGCCCTGTTTGGTAGCTCTAGTTTGCTTCTTCTCTGCTTATTCTGCTTACTGCCAGAATAATTAGCAAATCATTAATAGCCTTTGATATACTTTTGGCTGAAATTGATTTTACTCCCCTTCTAGAAGACTCAGCCAAAGCAAGGACTTGGCTATTTTATTGAATTGGACTTGAATAGTTAATTTTCGGAAAGTGCAGGTTGATCTTCTTAGAGGCCAGAAATCAGACAAGGTGGATGTGACATTAGCTCCAGAAGAGTTGGAATTGATGGACAATGTGCTGCCAGCCAAGTATGAGGAAGCCAGGGAAGAAGAAAAGCTGCGTAACCAGCGTGAGGATTTCAGTGACATGGTCGCAGAGGTCTCTCTTTCGCTTTCCCTCTCTCTCTCTCTCTAAATGTTGGATTTTGTTCATTCCCATGTTTTTTTGCTGAGATGATATATTTATTCTGAGTGCAGAATGAGAAGAAAAGAAAAAGAAAGATGCAGGAAAAAGAAAGCAAATCCAAGAAGAAGGACTTCAAGTTTTAACAAGGTTATGCTTCTTTTTTTGTCTGTAGTAAATGATACGGCAACTACTGCCTTTCCCTGTCCAACTTTTTAAAATTTTTGATGCACTGCCAGTCCACCCCATCCCTTGCCATTGATGGCCTTTGTTACTATCTAAGTGTACAACTGAATGTGAATTAGTCGATGAAGCAACAGACTATTGTTTGCTACTAGCATTAGTATTGTTGTTTGATCATTTAGGAGTATATTTCATGTTCTTAGTTACTCTTAGGACGTGTTTGCTGAGAGGAAGAGGTATGAGTTCTGGTAACCATGAACTTCAGTTTGGCTGTGGAATGTACAATCCCTAGTGTCAGAGGCTAATTCCAGGATTTATTATTTTTTGGAAAAATCTGGAGGTACTCCAAGGTCGTGTATCCCAAGTTTACACTACCTTCTTAGAGACACACACAGACACACTGTCTATGTAAAATACAGACAGTCTGTGTGTGGCTTTGAGAAGGGGGTACACTACCTTGGGATACACCTAGCAAATCCCTATTTTTTTTAGATTGCATTAGGAACAGAATAGCTTTCTGTTTGAAGCTTTTGTTATGGTGTGTGGACATTATTAAAGTGTTGAGTGGCCAAAAAAATAAAAATTTCAGAGGTTTTGGTAGGCATAATGTTGTGTGCAGTATGTTTGCATGTTGAAATCATGATATTGTTCTACAGAATATGAATTTAGATAATATGGAGATTGAATTCTTAATAGGAACTATAGGGTATAGAGTATAAAATAATAAAATGTCTGGAACTAATCATGATTTGCCAATTTTCTATAGGGTTGAATATGTTTTTTTATCTTTATAAAGCATGGGTATTTTCTTTTTAGTCAATCTAAAATAGCGTTTTTTAAATCATTTCATGTCTACAAAAATTTATTTTCTTGCAAATTGTCCGTGAAGATCTAGACCCAAAATCTGAAGTCATGATTTTTGGTTTTGAAACCTAGAAATGATTTTGTTTTAGATCTGAAATTATGTCTTTTTTCTCCGATGGCAAGTACGGAGTATTATTTTTCATCTAAACCTAATGTCTACTCTCCAGTTAGTTTTTTCTTTTTTTATATTGAAATGATCTAGAGTAGGCTTGGCAGTGGCGATTTGAAGATGGATGGGGTATAGAAGGTGGAGGACATCGAGATTATGACGGAATTGGGAGGCTGGGGTGGCGCTGTGGCAAAGGGAATGGACTCGGGCAGTTCAATTACTTGTTCTTTTTATAATTAGATCAGATAAAATCTTTAAAAAATCGGATCAAATCAGATTAGGTGAACGGAAGGAAATGCAGTCGTATTTGTGTTATTTTACTCATTGCCTTGGTTTGGGTGCAAAAATGAAAGTAGACGAATATGGCGGGACGGAGGGGTAATTGGAATTACAAGATTAAATTATTGAATATGAAATAAATGTGTTATCTCATTTTATTAGAAGTGTTAATTATGTTTAAAGATTATTAGCATATTCAACCCTTGAATTAATTCATCATCTTACCACCTAAAAAACGAGCACATAATTGACATAAACCTAAGAGCAGTGGTAATACTATAACGCCCAACGACGTTAAGTTGATTTTGACGCATGGGGGGATTAAACACCGCCCCTTTCCCGTTATAGCACCGTTATTTTTGCAGCGTCAAACTTTTGACGCAAATTGTATGCCAAAATTCGGCCGGTGGAGCCCCTTACCCCACCGCCCCCCTTTCCCGTTATCACATCGTGCATTTTTTTTATTGAATGAATCTAATTTTTTTTTATTAATGAATGTAATTTTTTTATTTAATGGATATAATTTTTTTTAATTAATGAATGCAACTTTTCAATGAAAGAATGTAATTTTTTTAAATTAATGAATGTATTTGTTGTTTATGAATGTAATTTTTTCAATGAATAAAATTAAATAATTAAATTTTGTTAATTTAATTTTAGAATATGTGTATCTAAAATGTAAAAAATGAAGGGTTGGAGTCTCAGTTTGAAGCCCCAGGGTTTCAAACCCATTTTCAGTGAATTGGTGAGGAAAGTTAAAGCTGATGTAGCAGAGAGATGAAGTTTGAAGCTCCGGGGCTTCAAGACCATTTCCAGTGCTCTAATTGTTGGATAAATAGCAGCTATATGAATGAATATGAAACTCGCATGCCCTACATTCTTTATCTGCAGTAAAAAAATTAAGACAAAAAAATTGAAATACTTGAAAAAAAATTTGAAATAAAATATTTGTAATTCTTTTTTGAACAAAAATATGAAATTCAACACTGTTTATTCTTCTAATTTTTTTATAGTTTCTTCTAATTATTTTCAATTTATTTTTATACTCAACTCAATTTTTAAAACCCAAAAAAAGACGCTCTTAATTGTGTTAATAATGTCCTTCAACCAAAGGCAAATCTAATCAAAACTAAACACGGAGTAAATAGATATGTACGGAGTAATAGTACTCTTTGTTTTTATTTTTAATTTACCTTATATTGTGAAACAAGTACGACAACTAGGTAACATTTTTTACCTTAGATTGTGAGTAAGGTGTTGATAGTAATTTGAAACTAACTTTTCTTCAAGGTCAAAGTTAAAGTTGGATCCGTATGGTAAGGTACTAAGGTCCAAGATTTTACCTTCACATGTATTGGTCACCGTTGGAGACAAATTAAAGGGGAGTGAGTATTCAAAGAGCAATGCTAGGTTCACAAATAGAATACTCACAAATTTCACAAACTTATTATTTATGATTTAAAATTTTATTTTAAAATCATTTTAGACCATTTAATTTTTTCCATTGAAATTCACAAGTAGTAAGTTTGTGAAGTTTGTGACCATTGTGTTTGTGAACCAAGCATTTCCCGTATTCAAACTATTCACCACTCCCCCAATTTTTAAATAACTTAACATTATGACTTTATATCTACACTATTAGGGCCAACCCCGAAATGTAAGAAAATGATATTCATCCTGTGTAAAATTCACATGTTGGGCTTTATTTTAATTTTTCCAGAGAACTTGTGTTTTAAAATTAGTAATGAATTTGATTTTTTAAAAACTACTTTAAAAAACAATTTGAATATTAAAATATAAATTTATATTAATTTTAAAATATCAAGTAAACAGAATAATGAACATTTAACTATACAATGCCCTTAAAGTTTGGGGACCCTGTACGGGTGGACACCTAACACACCCTCCGAATCGCCCATGCACACTATCATCGTCTCTGAATATTTGGCCAGGTTTAATTTTTTTCAGTCAGAATTGATAATTTTAACCACAAGTTTAATAAAATTGATATTAGATTTGTTCTATACAATATTTTCAAAAGATTGTTTATCTAATCAATATACCTTATACTCCCTCAATCCCACAAAACCCTTCTCCTTTCCTTTTTCATCCGTCCCAAAAAACTCTTCCCTTTCTCTATTAAAAAGTCACTTTTATCCCTAATAATTCTTAACCCACTTATCACATCACACTTTTTCTCTATTAAAACATAATGACTTTCTCAATATAGGACCATATATTTTTATTTTCCAATGTAGGATCATTGGTCATTATCTATTAATCATTAGTTAACTAAATGTCCAACATCACTAGGACATTATTCTTCTCACTAGTCATTATTAAGTCCTATTTAAGGAATAAAAAAGTTTAAGTCCTACATTGAGAAATGACTTATGTTTTAGTCCTATTCAATGCAAATTTCACATATGATTGAAAGTACTCGAGATTATGGAATTAAGAGAAGGTTAAATATTTAATTAATAGATAACAAAATAACTGAAACTAATTTTTATTTTTAAAAATAATTATTATTGATTACACGATTCTTATTGGATAGATTGAGTTGACAGTCTTGAAAATGAGTTTGGAAATTCATTGACTCCCTTCCCGGACTTTTTCGATTTTCAGTGCACCATAACGATAAAATCTGAAGCAAAGACGCTTATTAAGACTTTCCTCAAGCTCTCTTCATACTCTCATTGGGATGCCCTTTTCCTCTTAATGTAAAATCAAGACTCAAAAACGATCTTGAGACCACCAATCTTGACACCCTCACATCCCGTCTTTGGCACTAAAGTCACTAGAATTTGGTCATTATTCTCCGCATTCAAATCCTCCAATAGTTCAGTTATGGTTAACCTCATTTGAGTCTTGATGATCTTTTGTTGTTTATGGTGGTGGTGACCGCCATGTGGCACGCTCACGAAGCTCCCGCAAAACTCGGTGTGCTTGGGCGTGGCCATCACCTCGTCTTCTTCGTTAACAAGCACGTCGAACTTCACATAAACATCCTTCTCAATCTCTACCCCTTCGATTACAAGAACTTCTTCTTCTTCTTCTTCATTGTTTCTCTTCTCTTTTCCTCTTGTTGGCCTTTTCACCGTTGCCTTGACAACTTTGTCGAGCCTCCTGGGAAAAACCTTGTCCGCTGCTGCAGGGTTGTCTATCCCTGCATCAGCAGCAAACTTCTTTGCTTTCCTCAAAACCCTATTGTTGGATGCCCGTGGCGTGGGACGAGAGTTTAGCCACGGGATCTCAACGTCTTGGTACACATACCCAAGGTCTCTCGTGTCCAGGCAGTCCCTCACCTTGATCCGGACCATTTGCGCGTTTTCATCGTAGAAGAGGAGTGAAGAATCAAGCCAGTCTGGGTCAGAGAAATTTCGGCGTCGCCCGCCTAATGTTTTCCAAATCTCCCACATCCTGTCGATGTTACCGTGATGGGCGTAGAAGATAATGTCCCTCCCAGCTGAGTAAAAAGCCCCCATATCCTCCCCGTAAGGCTGTGACCAGTCTCCGATCCAGGTATGGATGTTGCCATGTGGAACATACTCTAGGGAGCCAGCACCGGGTGTAGGGTCGTCCCCTGCACGGTTTGGGCTCCCAAGGAATGTACGGGCGGTAGGCCCCAAAGACACAAGTTGACGGTACATCATAGTAAGATTCTGAGACATAAGTTGTTGTGGATCAAGAAGGGATGAATGCGATATGTAGTCATAGTTGAAATCAACGATGTTGGGTGGCATGTGTTTCGGGTCGCGAAAGCGATCGTAGAGCGGGGAGTTGGGGTCAGCTGTGTAGATGGACGGCATTTGCATGCCGTCCGGGTGGTCCCAGTTCCAGAAGGGCATAGCGAATGTGGGGTCGTCAATGAGTTTCCCCAATATCCTCTCGAAGAAGTAGAGGTAGCAACGATGGAAGGGGTGGAAGAGCCACGACCAATGGACACTAAGCTCCACGCCCGGAAAACCGGCTTGATCATAAGTGCCGCTGCAGTAGGCACAGTGTACGTTAGCCTGGTTAAGGAAACTCCGGGGATCGTCGTCCGGAAGGGCCTTCATCAGTTCGACCGCCCTGGTGAACTTGGCCATGTAGGCTTCGTCATTGGCCACCAGATGAGCCGCCCGTCTTACACGAAGAGGGGCGGATCGTGGTGGCCGCCGAAGCTGATTGAAGTCCACGATTCTTGCTGGCATAGGGGGGCAGCAGTTCGTGAGCTTATCGACGCTGTCAGGAAGGTCGATCGGGCCACAACTTGATATGTCGGGCCCGTTGATGGGGTCTGCGGAGGCCAGTAACGGATTCAAAGCCCCGTATCCGTACACGCCCCCGAGCCCCACCAGCAGGTTTCTTCTGTCCAACTTCCAATCGTCGTCATTGGCGGCGGCGGGGACGGCCTTATTGTTGTTGCATGATGAGACAGGCGGCAGACGAGGGCGGCGAGTCATTGGGCGGTTCCTATTTAGGGATATTTTTCTTGGGGCCGAATAATGGTTAACATTTGGGGTGGAGATGCTGATTGTCAAGAGAATGGAGGCTGTCATTTTGTTTGCTTTATGTATTTTTGGAACTCCACCACATATACACCCCCTATTTATAATGGGGTTTTTCTTGCTTTATCATTGAGAGATACTATTCACACTCCTCCATTCATTGACAACATTTTAATAGTTCTAAACTTCTAATGCCATATTATTTGAAGGGAAGGATAGAAATTGGAACCCCATGTCATGGGATGATCTATGGACACTTCGGTATCCCATTTGTAAAATCGATGGTTCCTATCCTCATAGCCCTCCGGTGAATCCTCCACCCCGCCCGGCCTGAACACACTCTCACACCCACTTCAATTGCACTCACAAGTTAATTTTGACTTTGAAGTTAATTTTTACTCCTAACGGGACACTGGAGCGACCCCAAGCCATCCCATGACATTGTCGGGTAATGTCATTGGAACCACTCCGTTATTTAAAAAGTGAAATTTGTACTAAATAGGACTAAAAGATAATGACTTTCTTAATGTAGGATTTAAACTTTTTTATTCCCTAAATAGGACTTAATAATGACTTTGTGGAAGGAATAATGTCCAGTAATGAAGGACATTTAGTTGAATAATGACTACTTGATAATGACCAAAAGTCCTACATTGGGAAATAAAAACATATGGTCATATATTGAGAAAGTCATTATGTTTTAGTCCTATTTAGGTAAATTGCTCAAACAAAATATACATATTTAAAACAATATAAAAAAATCTTCGAAACACATGGTGAGAATTCAGTTTGGAACAAATGAAAAAAAGAAAAAAAAGTTGCACACTTTTACCCCGCTAACATAATTAATTAATAGTGTGCTGAAATGTTCTCATTATTTATCTTTTGTTCTATTGGTAACTATGGAGTAACTTTTAACTACCACTTATGTCCCATAAAATCTTTTTTGTTTTGAATTTTAAAGGATTTAAATGAGTATATTTTAGTGTTAACTTTCCAAAATGACTTTGGATATGATGAGTAAAAGTAAAATTTTCTGAATAGATTAATAGTGAAAAAGTGTGATATGATATGGGTAAATTTCACTCATGGTATAAGAACTTTCATCATTATTTCACTTCGGTATATAACCTTTAATTCCTATCACAAAAATACATGAACTTTCAACATTCTTTCACCAGTGGTCCAATAGGCGGTTTCTAAGTCACTTTCAAGTCATTTGGGGTCAAATTATAATTTTATAAATTTAAATTTTATGATTTTGATCTCTTTTCTTTTTTTCTCTTGGTTCTCCACCTTTTTCTTCATCTTCTTCAAGACCCCACCCTCCCCTCCATTTTTTTCTTCTTTTCCTCTTCCAGCCCCACCCCAC